GATTGAAAATTGATGGAATGCTGATTAAAATTTTGATGAAATCATGATTAAGTCGTGGTTAAGTCTTGGAATGTTGGGTCGCCAAACGCTGATTACTTGAAGAAGCTGCAGATAGCAGAAAGTGAGACCTTCTTAGGTGGAGGTACAGATGGAAACTGCAAAGAAAGAGCCGGGGTACCCCCCTGCGTTTATACGAGTCTTGATCTAGCTTGTTCGGCTGTTTCTAGGAGCGAACTGGTACTGTGCAATTTACCATCACAACCATAAAAGTAGAGCACATATTCGATATATTTCTTATCTTCGGCCATCCCAACAGTGTGTCCCCTCTGGGTCCGTCTATGGGATTCCATATCTATGCAAGCCTCTTCCTCCCATCCCTCCTTCTTGTCGCTGTTTGATCTGCCTTTTATTACGAGAACCTCGACGCATGATTAATGGTGACAGTGACAGAGAGCTCACAAGCGGTTTAACTGACGTCGGCTTTTGCAGAAGAGTTTTTGGAAGGGCCAAAATTTTAACCATTCATGGCTTTTCTCTAGACTACCCACCGAAGTGCGTCGCTTCAAAGTCCCCTTAACAGAGTATCAAAACAATCGAGAAAGTTGACACGCAGGAATGAGAGAAAGAAGGAACAACCAGCAATACTTTACATAAACCAAAAAGGGTCTGCCGCGTAGCCGGCAAAGGGATAGCCAATAGACTATCTCTTTCTTCAGAAGTCACTCCGTCAGAGCGGGCTAAAGTGTATGTTAAGTGTCACCATCTGCACCACGGATAAACGCCTATTCACGAACGGTCAATTCTCTCAGTTCACTCACACCCCCTCAAATCAGACTTACCCCGCAAAGTGACGAAGTTCATTGTGAGTTACTAGTCTGGTCACCAGACAGTTAGCCCTGATGTTTGCCTTCCTACCCCATTACGATTCTACTGAGTCACGACACGGGTCCGACCTGTTCACCGATTCCTTGGGATCTCAAAACACAGCACCTTCACTTACCCAACTCTCCAATTTTCCCCACCATGCTAGGACGGAACACTTTGCCTGAGTTGAGAAGAAACGAACCTCGAGATTGTCCGTTCCCTTCTGCTTTCAAAAATAGCCATAGCAGAAGCAGGGTCGACGGATGCAAGTGGCATGGGCTGAACGGAAGAGTAGACAATCGTCAGCTCAAAAAGTCTTCGCCAGCTCACCTAGCAACTTGGACAGGAAGGGCGACATCAACAAACCACTCTCCTGTAGATCACCAGGTTCTCTCGCATAGACTCGATAATGAATCCTTTCATTCCCTCTATACTCGAGTCATTCATCCGTGCTCGTCTCCTCTTACCTCCGTCTCAATCTCAGCTTTCCTTCTCACAGCAAGAAAACAACATTGTTGACGTCAACGAGGCACTTCATAGCAGCTGATCACGGGCTCACCTCTTCAGCGCTCAGGTGTCCTATCAACGGCCATAGCCAGCAGTTGATATTCGCTCTGTCATCCGAGTCAGCAAGGGTCAGCTTCATTCTAGTCGTGATCCAGTTCATGCTCGTCCGAAAACTGCTAACGTCAATAGCAGATCTCCGAGCATGACTTCTTCCCCCTCATGCTTGTGCCCATTAGTCTCACCAAAAGGTCCGTGACTCATTCGACAGAGATTCCCGCTTAAACCGAGGAGCGCAAGGGCGRCGAAGCGCAAGTGCGTTGACCCTCTCTCTCTCTGCTCCATGCACTTACCCTCTCTCTCTGCCACGTGTAGCCCGAGTATATGTAACTACCTCGCACTCATCACTTGAGTTCTACGAGAGTCATGCGCCTGAAGGTCCCGCCTCTCCGGTCCTTGTCCTCCCTCTTACTGCTGACCCCGAACCGGCCTCTGGGTCGTCCTCCACCGTTCCTGCTAGCGGGTGGTTTCAGCGGATCTGCTCCAGTCCATGCCAGGACTGGGTCTCCACGTTCAAATCGCTGGCGCCACTCTCCACTTTGATATCGCGGTCCAGGTGTTGTTGTTCGCGTTCCATAGTATCGGTGGATGTTTTCTCCTCAAGGTAAGTGACCTTCACCTTGATTTCGTTTGTGACCCCGTTCCGCCTGCACCTTCTCTCTGCGCGGTCCCTAGCCTCAGTAATCGCCATCTGCAGGCCTGGGTCCACCCTCATTTCTTCCTCTTTTCCCCCTTCAACATTTATCTTTAGTTTCACCTCCCGCCTGCCGTAACTACAGTCCAGCACGGTTGTCGCCGTGGGTCCTTCTCCCGATATCCGCTTCCACTTCCAGAGGGACTGAAGGCACCTTGGCCTATATCCATACAGCCCACTGTTGCGCACCATAGTTGAATCCTCCGAACAGGCCGTGCCTGGTACCAAACACCGGCTCGCGAATAGCTTGCTCACGGTACCAGGCAGCAGAATTCTCAGATAGCCCGACCTTAACGTTCAGCACAGGCTCGCACAGGTGGACTATAGTATGCTCACTCAGCTAGCCGGTTGCCCACCAGTGCCACCACCAGCCTTTCTCTTGTCTTCTTTTATAGGTACCTTCCATACCAGGATCCCCCATGCTCTAAATGGGGAGTTCAAATGAATTTTGAGCTCGGTATTTTAGTAATCTGTTACTTCAAAAGTAAAGAAAGAAATAGAGTAAAATGAAACGAAAACAAAATAGAGCAGGCAAGAGGCTGGACCTCAATGGTCATAGCGCCAACTTCTGTTGCCATTCGTAACTTCATTTGTTTCTGACGCGAAGTGACCATTGGTTCGGCGCGGCGTCCCATAACGAAATATCGCCCGACACTTCACTTCCTTCATAGGGCACTTACGGGCTACCACTAATGGGTGCCCGTATCCGATGGTAAGGAGGGGGCTTATGACTCTCCACGGAGGATGATAAGCCTCCTGTCGATCCGGCCGCGGGCTGCCCCTCTTTTGGGGTCCATCACGCGGCTCCCAGCCAAACAGCTYAGTCACAAGGTAATAAGCGAGAGGTCGGGCCAGTCTAGRCTACCAGTTAGCACTCAAGGTCCATAAACGAACAGTYGACCCCTCGTGAAGCGACAGAAGAGGGGGGGGGTCGAAATAAAGGAGCTGACAATAGAAATAATAATATTAGTAATAATAAATAACAATAATAATAATGACATCATTCGAAAAGGGAAAACGGCGTTTCGAAATCCTCTTGCGCCGCGACCTCACGAAATTCCATGCGACACCAAGGCGTTAGGACAGCAACTCAATACTCAACCTTTTTTTTATTTTTCCTTTCTTTTTGCATCGTCCCCTTTTCCGACGGTGACCATTGGCACCATGCCTACCACATAACCCTGCCACAAGAGTCTAGCGCGCGGTTGAGAAGGCCGCACGGGTTATCGCGATCACACCCCTACACCTGGCCCGAATCACGACCATCAGGACCCGACGGTCACTTCAACTACGGGCGGGCCAGGCTATCAGACGGCGGCTGCGGTTCAAAAATTAAGTCGTTGGCCCCGCAAAATAACACAGGCCGAAATGAAAAACTGAGTCTAACAAATCGAGTGAAAAGGGAGGTTAAATAATAATAATAATAATAGAATCGAGAGGAAAAGGGGGTTATGACATCTTTATTACCCCGGACTAAAGTAAGAACTCAGACCATCACACGAATCTGACGCATAGTTTTTCTTCTTTCTCATATTTTCTTCTTCCTTGCCCTCTTTTTCTCACCCCTCTTCCTTTTGACAACAACCTCTGCCTCGTGCACCTAACCCATAACCTGTCAGAGGGGCCCTCACCGAGCAGCAGAAAAGACTGCGCCAGTCCCTCTATCTTCGCGTCCCGAGGCGAGCTAGGCGGCTACCACGGCCACAGACCGGTAGTGCTCTGCTGTTCAGCAGGGCGCCAAGCCTGCGTGGACCAATGGAAAGTCCAGTGGCGCACCCTTTTGCTTCGGGCAGGTACCAACATGACCGGTCCACATCAGGGCACAACTCGGGTACTCCAGCAGAGCCGCGGAGGTTCGACAACAGTCCAACAAGCCGCGAGCATCAGGACAAAGGACTGGTACCGAGCAGGAATCTTGCAAACAAAGGAGGGTCGGGACACCTCGCCCTCGGACACCGTCAGGTTCGCTCGTGCGCCACAGTCCATCGTGGCCTACACGTCAACCCCGCGCACTTGGCACCTGCTCGTCGGGTCGCCCAACTCCCACATCAACTCACCTCTCACTTGCTCATTAGCTGACCCTCACTTAWCGCGCTAACCTCGAGCTTCCAAAAATTTTAAGAGAGCTATCTAATCACGCCGACAAAATTTATAGCATATATGCGTGCGCGAAGAGTGCGAGATTGCAAGGATTGGGAAGAGGGGAAGGGAAGTGCCTGCGCTTCTGCATGACCATATCGCGGCGTGGGGGACGTAGACGCTTTCCACGCATCGATCCAGTTATGCAGGCACGCCGACCAATCTGACAAAAGAAGGAGAAAGGGGCGGGAACAAGAAGAAAGCCAGAAAGGAAGATACAGTTACAATGGCGGCCCCCCTGGCCCCCCCCAAATTACAGTTACACGCAAGATTAAGGCGCTGTCCAGCCAGAACTTCGTTCCCGCCGCAGGAAGATGCGTGTAAGAAAGAAACGCCGCGCGGCAGAAAATTTCAAAAAGTCCTAAATTCCTAAATTCCTATTCGAAGTTGCAAACATAAAAGTTCCGACAAAATTAAGGAAAAGCAAAAACATAACAGAAATTAAAATTATGAGAGCCCTCGGGGGCTCGACATTAGTTTGAAAGAAAAACTTTAAAATGGAAACCAGAAAAGCTCCCGAGCGATCATCGCACCAAAAATCCCGGTTTCCCCCTTTCCCCCAGCCGAGCAAGAAAGAACCATCGCCAACTGTTATCGATCACGCCCAGCGAGGCGCGCACACTCAATCGTCTGCCCCTGGCTTGTCCCGGGCCTGGCCCATCACTGTCGAAAGGGAAGAAGCAAAAAAACGAAAAAGAAAGAAATAGGGACACCAACGCAATTCGTCCGCCCATCTCCTCTCGTAATTTGCCCATCCTTCCCATCTCAGGACCCCTCGTTGTCGTCGCGCAGAAATTCGCGCAGCACAGAAAGTGGTTCATCACAGTGCGTCCTATGACTCCTATCGCCACCATCGTCGCCCTCCTCGTGCAACTCGTCTATCTCGCGCGGGATGGGAAGCGAGGGGTCATCCGTCGCTTCCGGCTCCCTCTCATCCCCGGAGTCGTCATCCCTTGGGTACGAATGACAGCTGGCCGCACGAGCACAAAAAACAGACTCAACGGGGGGCGGCGCAGAGGACCCGATGGGATCGCGCGCAATGAGGGCAGTCTGCTCCACGATCTCCTCTTGCGTCATCCTGCTCCTCGTCCCCGTCCGCACATGGTCCACCTCCAATCCCGCCTGAGCGTCCAACATACCCTCATTTCGCTGCCAAGGGAGGACGTATCCGCAGCCTGCACGTCTATACTCCATCAACCGCACATTTACGGTGATCTCGACAAGATGGACGACCTTCTCGAAAGCCAACTGATTGCGCTTCTTCGTGTGGATGCCCTCGTGGACCGCCCAGTTCCTCTCCAGTGGAGAGGCGCAGGACCATATGTGCATCACACAAGGAGTGCAATACTGCAAATCAGCCGTGTCTCCCCCGTACTGAGACCACCACGACGCGCACTCCAACGTCTCGCAGTCCCCGCTGCAGCTGCGCGGCCCTCTCCCCCGCCCCAAGTCCCATACCTGCCCTGCTGCATGTGGAAGTCCTCGAACTGCCGACATACCTCAAGGTAACGAGCACCCGACTCGTTGAAGCCCGTCTAAGACAACAGATACCTCTTGGCTTGCCAAACAAGCCAAGTGTGGTACTCGTCGAGCTGCGCTGAGAAGTACTGAACATCCCGGCGACGGGGGTTCAGTAAGAACGCCGCGCAGTGTGCAGGCTCCATCATGTACTGTACACGTGCCTGCACACGCCTCATGACACGGTCCGAAAAGGACTGGCCAAGAGGGGCACATGCGTCTCACATGAGGCGTGCAAGATCTTGAGTCCACTCCACAACGATGGACATGAACTGCCCACCACGAGGGGGGTGGGTTTGACTGTGGGAGTTACTTGCGGTCGGCCGGGCGGGGGGGGTGAAGGTCTGGAAGGGGGTTAAAAATGCTGTGAAAACGGACGCGGGATCATGAGCCCGCGCCTAAACATGTGCAGCAGGCTTTCAGGTAAAAGGCTGATGTGTACCGTTACATTGTCGTCGGCCAGAAGATCGACAACAAGGGGGTTGTCGTGATGCGGTGCACCTTCTGCAATAAGGTGTGGCAGGGAACCCAATTCTATGCTACGAAACAGTTCACCCAGTCACACTATTGCAAGAAGGTGCCCGACGAAGCGTTGTTCCAGATTGAGCAGAAATGTGCACACCGCTTCGAGGCTGACCAGGCGGAGAGGGGCCAGCGGTACGCACAGGAGCCCCCTTCTGAAACCCCGGCGGCTACCCGCTGACAGCATGCCGACACCCCATCGACACCCACCTGGAACCCCTTAAGACACACCGTGGACACAGTGTTCACTCCCCGCCTACGAAACACCCTAGGCGGCGGCCAAGCGCGGCCGAATCCGCGGACACGGCCAGGCCGCCGATCGCGTGGACGCGTTCGCGCGGCCAGGCAACTTTGCGGACGCGTTGCGGCCAGTGGGGAGGGGGGTTGGGGACTCGGGAAGCGCCATGGGGTGGCGAAACCCCAGCCCTAGCCCCTCAAACAAAAAAAAATGAAAAAAATATAATTTTTTTGGGGTGGGGGGATATGGCTGTGACTGATGACAATTGGGAAAGAAAAAAAAAAACGCGCTTTTTTTTTTTTTTTCCGTTGATTTATTGATTGATTGTTTGATTGATGCGGCGGAACCACCGTCGCAACCCGTGGACGGAACGCTACTGTTTTCTCCCGGCGGAAGTGCGTCGTCCTCCACCCTTCGGCCGCTACAGCCGCGCATAATTTTCGTTGATCTCCTACTCTTCCATCTGCTACGACTGTGCGCTCTCTTCCTTGTACGCTCCTCTGGAAACACCATGGCGAACTCCCTCCCGACGATTGAGGAGATGTTGGACGCTGAGGACCTSCTCCAACCTTCACAGTCCATCTCGGGAATGCCTCCGTCCCGATATTTTACCCCCGCTTTTTTCCCTCTCCCCTCGACTTCCTCCGCTYAATGATGGTGTGGATCTGCAGCTATTACTAGCAAACGTGGGTGATTGTGCTATCTTCATCCCCTCTGATGAGTTGTTCAGTGGCCAAACAACGAAAAGCTTGCTTTAGGGACTATTAGCCAATACACCCTGCTTCCCTAGCTGGACTTATCATCCACCCTGTTTGTGGTTGATATGATGAATGGGTCTTGGGAAATAGCTTTTGAGAATTCACACCAGTTTCGTATGTCCAGGGTACGATTCTTGCATTTCGTA